CCAGTGCCCTCCGAATGACAGCCCCGCCGTTGCTTTTGGGTGCCCCTGCCCTTTTCCGAGGGATCTGGGAGCCCTGCTCTCCCACAGCTGGCCGATGCCCCCGGTGAGGCGTGGAGAGTGGGTTGACCACCTCTTGAGTAAGGGTCTCCTGTTACGTGGCGGGCCTTCAACCACCAGGCTGTCCTTCCTGACTCTTCACTGCTGTCACGCTTGCCTCTTTTTTTCTCCCCCCACATCTCAGGTTAACAACAACGGGATCATCTCTTTCCTGAAAGAGGTTTCCCAGTTCACGCCGGTGGCGTTCCCAATCTCCAAGGACCGGCGCGTGGTAGCAGCCTTCTGGGCAGATGTGGATAATCGGCGGGCAGGCGATGTGTATTACCGGGAGAGCAAAGACCAGGCCATCTTGGAGCGAGCGACCAAAGACATTGCACAGTATTTCCCCGAGTTCCCCGAGTTCGTCGCGCAGTGGGTGTTCATTGCTACCTGGTACCGAGTGACCTTCTTCGGGGGAAGTTCGTTCTCTCCAGTGAGTGCTTGGGGCATTAGCATGGGCACCCGTGGGCGATGGGAAGTAGGCACACCACAAAATCCTGGACGGTCCTGAAGTGCCAGAGGCTGATGCTCTGGCACTGGCCCTGGGTGAGCCCCCTCAGAGAGAGGACGTCAGCGACATCCTCCTCTCTGTCCACAAGCTCCTACAAATTGGGAGCAGCTCTTAGTTTAGGGATGGATTTTTTTAAAAGGAGTTTCTGGTGGCACCAGAGCTTTGGCACCTTTTGTCTACAACAGCTTTGCTCATATAACATCAAATTTCTCCTGTCCCATACCTTGCGTAGCCATGAGCAGGACTAAACTGAACCCAAAGACTCCGCTTAGGTTAAGTAACCTGAAGGCTCAGCCCGTTGCAGAGAAGGCCTTGTGGCGCTTCTCCGCTCTCCGCAGCTGAGCAATTGCATGTAGCTGCCACCAGACTGCTTGGTGTATTCTGGCTGGCGTTCACCCGCCACTGCTCACTGCACAGGTACAGAGGGGTGCCAGGTCTCCCGGGCACAAGTGCCCTCGCTCGCTCTTAGAGTGAGTTTGCGCGCAGCCGAACCCAGACTGCGGTCCAGAGGAACTGCAAAACATCCTTTCATGGCCTCTGGCTCTTCCCACACTGGACACCCCTTCATATCAACCATCTGCCATGTGGCCATCTGCAGCTCAGTTAGGCACTGGCTGAGCAAAAGGGAACGCTCCCGTTTTCATCTGATCTCCTCGATGTTTGGGTGGGAGGAACCGAATTATAGCACTACCTGCGTTTTCCCAGTGGCTAGTTAGGGGGCAATGAACCCAGTTTCTACTCTTGGCTGTCCTGGTGATGCAGCGTTCCTCGCCTCAGAGCTAGTCCCCCATTTGGTCCCTTGCTGCAACAGGCAGCACGTGTAGCACCAGCTTTGCAAAAGTAACCCCCTTCCCTGTGCCCTTTTGAGGCTGCAAGTCGCTGGTGTCCCCCTTCTCAGGCGGCTGGATTGCATTTGGCCGTGTTGAGGTCACGCGCACGGAGACCAAATGTTGGACAGCTTACAAAAGCTGGTCTTTGCCTTTCTTCTAGAGATCTGAGAAAAGGCGTTTCAGCCATACACTACTTTTCACAGTCCCCTTTCAGACCGAAGTAGCCCCGTGCTGGCTGATCTGCCTTTAGATGTGATTGCTGCCACTCGAGCCGTTCCTTGCCTTTCTCTATAGCGCCACTAGAAACTGGAATTTCTCTCCAAAAGGAATGGCTGCTGCCTGGACATTGGGGTTTCTTAATCCTGAATCCAGATGAAAAGACCCCAGCTCACAGCTTTCTGCAAATTGAGGAAGTTGGCCCAAAGACGTGGAAACGGTTCCTTTTGACACCACAACAGAAGCAAGCCGTTTTTCTGCTCCTGCGCAGCCGGTGGGAGAGTTGGGAGACGAGCACAGAGGCAGGAAGGGCCTCGTGTTCACAGAATCACAGAATGGTTGAGGTTGGAAAGGACCTCTGGAGATCATCTAGTCCAACACCTCTACTTAAGCCGGGTCACTTAGAGCACATTACCCAGGATTATGTCCAGACGGCTTTTGAATATCTCCAGGGAAGGAGACTCCACAAGCTCTCTGGGCAACCTGTTCCAGTGCTCGGTCACCCGCACAGTAAGCGTTGTCGCTCCTACCGTGCCTTTGGACACTAACGTCCAGCCAGCCTGAAACCACTCACGTCAGATTCCCAATGGAAAATTGTGCTGAAATCTCTTTCTCTCCCCCTTCCCCAGTCCCTGAGGAAAAATTAATTAAACCAATCAGCCTTTCCTAGAAGAGGAAGGATCAGGGCCCTCTTCTGCCAAATGCTGCCATCTTCCCAATCAAGCTTTCCTGCTCGACGATTTTATTTTCTGTCCTCTCCTTTTTTGGACCACTCATTCCTTGACCATGTTCCTTTCTCTCCTTCCATCCCCTCACTGCTTTCTCCTCCTCTTCCTGCAGGTGAACACTTTCCAGATAGTCCTCATCACTGATGGCAAGCTCTCCTTCACCATCTTCAACTATGAGTCCATCACCTGGACCACTGGTATGCACGCCAGCAGTGGGGGGGACTTTGCTGGGCTTGGCGGCATCGCAGCTCAGGTAAGCAGTGACTGCAGTCCATTGCTCCCAGGTAGCACATGAGCCCTACGAGCCCATTGCTGCTGTTTGTTTTATTTGTTACTGGCAGCACAAAGCAGCGAAGAGATTTTTGGTGGTGACTCTGTTTCTCCCTCCTGCTGCTTTTTTTTTTTTAAGTTCTTAAATATCCTTGTGTTCTCTCATTCCCAAAGCTGAGACCATATAGGAGACTTTGTTATAATGAAACCACAGTTCTTTTCCTTGGCTGCTGCCTCTTAGTTCCTTTTCCTTCCTAACCTCAGACTTTAAGAGCAATTCGGCAGCTGCTGCAGCCAGCACAGCTTTCGCTTGTATTTTTATTTCACCGTTGTGTGTGTTGTTGTGTTTAAGAAAAAAAAATAGCAGTACCCTTTCGGATGTGTGAATTTACCACCAGTTGATCTGTCCTTGGCTCCCTGCCTGCAAGTCTGCAGCAAGCAGGAAATTGCAGGTGTAAAGGAAACGGACACGTTTTGAATCCCAGAATTCAATAGTGCGGATTTTATGGATGTAAACAGTACGGTAACCGCACGCCTTGGAAAGCGGACAGCACTCCAGGAACACCCCACCCTCACACCAGCCAAAGAGAAGCGGAACCCTCAAGGGAAAAAAAAACATAATATAATCCCTTGCCCAGTGTCAGTCTGTTACTGGGTTTGCAGGAGTGTGCTGCAAGCTGGGCCCAGGGCGGCCAAGCAGCCCGTTTGGCCTGGGCCAGCTGAGCTGCGCTCCCTGACTCGTTTCCACGAAGTGTGTCTATGCCTTGCCCAGATTCCCCTTCTGCGTGCAGGGTGCCAGGCGCAGAGGAGAGCACAGAGAGAAGAAACGACGTGTGATCTTTCCAGGGAATAATTAGTCATTGGGTGGCGAACGCAGGCACCCGCTGGGTTCCCTTTGCAGGGCTGCTGTGCCCAGGGAAGGACAGACTGGGCAGGCCAGTCACTGCACCTTTGCTTTGAGGCCAGGTCATTGTCCCTGTGTGTGCACGAGGCTGATCGCGCAGTCAGTGCGTAGCTGAGGGTGGAAAGGATCTCGAGATCGTTTAGTGTAACGTGCCCCCCCCCCCCCTTCCCCGGCTCAAATTAGGGTCAGCTAGAGCAGGTTGATGGGATGTTCCCTCTGCCGGTGGGCACACCACATCCCCTCGTGGCCGGGAAGGATCATGGCCTTGCGTTGTGGTTTGTAGCGCTCTCTCCAGGAAGGTGCTGGTGAGGTCCAGGTTGGATCGAACCTCAGGAGGGAGTTGGGTACCAAAATTCCCAGGCCAGACGAACTGGTCAGGTTGATCTGTGATCCACCTTGCACGAAGGAGCCCCCTCAGGCTGTGCTCTGGCCCTGCCGGCTTGTCGTGTCACATGGCCACGTGTCCCCATCACACACTAAACGCTCCTGCCACAGAGGTGCGGAGGTCTCCCCACAGGGACAGAAGACGGTCAAGAGGTCTGGGTGGTAACAGTCTTGCATAGTCCCATCTGAACAAGTGTTGCGCTGGGGAGCCCGTGGCCCCGGTGCTAAATGAACAGGTTGGCAAGCCCGTCAAGCAGGGACGCGATGCCACCAGCAGAAGAGCTGAGCTCCCGCAGCGACGTGCCCTCTCGCGTCCACCCACCTGAGCTCCATTTTTATGTACTGATGTCTTTTTACTCTCTGCCCTTGTCCTCCCAGGCAGGTTTTAACGCTGGTGATGGAAAGCGCTACTTCAACATCCCCGGATCCCGCACTGACGACATCGCTGACGTGGAGATGACGACAAATGTGGGTATCCCCGGGCGCTGGGTGTTCAGAATCGATGATGCCCAGGTGCAAGTGGGGGGCTGCAGCAATACAAGTAAGAGGACAGCAGTTAGGTTTATTTAACACCCAACCCAACCCCAAACTGTTCTCCAGCCCTGTCTTTCCCTGCCTCGACCCCCACCCCCATCTCCCTCCCCAAGGGGAGAGAGCAGCAACCCGTGGGATGGAGGAGACAGCTCAAAGGGCTTGGGGTGGGGAGGGAAGGCAGTGATGGGGAGACCATCCTTAGAGCCACCAGCCCTGTGCACGGCTGCAGGAAGCCCACAGGGCATCAGTGGTGTGACAGAAGCGGTGGGAGCTGTTTCCCCTCTGCTTTATGCCCTGGGATTGCCAAGCTTGATTGGGGCCCGGCCATTTGTGCTGTGGTCAGTCACGTTGGGAGGCCGTGGCTGAGCGTGGCTCTCTGGGGGTGCTAGGGGTTGGTGACGAGGAGCCCTGGAGGGTGACAGCACAAAACTGTGCCCGGAGGAGAAACACTGATCTACCTGAGGAAGAGGCAGGGCCGTGGTCAACCCCAGCCAAGCCCCAGAAGCAGGGAGAACTTCTCCCTTCTTGCTGCCAGGCTGAATCAGGCCTGTCTTCATGGTGGGCCTGAGCTGACTGAGTGACCAGCCCTCTTCCCAGGGTCTGAGGAAGAGCTGGGGCTGGGAGGAGGCTGGCCCCGCACATGCTGTGGTGAGGGGCTGCACCCAAAGGCTACCTCCGTACTGGTACCCCAGGGTGAGAAAGGGGCTGGACAAGCAAATGGGGAGGGAAAGAAAGTCTTCAAGATAAAAGCAGGGGCAGCAATGCATGAGGAGCAAGGAGGGATGCTGGAGAGAAGGTTAAGGCACACATGTGGCGCTTCGTGGGCCCCACGCCCAGGGCAAAGCACGCGGGGCCAGCACCCTCAGGGAGGTTCATCCGCCCCAGCCTTAGATTAGCCCGTCCCGCAGGCACGCAGACCTCAGAGGTGACTCCTGCCCGGGGACGCTGGCGGCGAGCAGCGCAGCAGGCAGCGCCTTCAGCGGGCTGTGGGGCCCTGTGCCGCCACGGTGGCCCACGGGGCTCCAGCGGGGCTGCCTGGCCTTGGCTTGGGAGCGGGGA